TGTGCAAGCTTTTGGTGTTTGCCTGTTTGCCGAGTGCCATAAAAAGCAATTAGGCAATTCTATTTTCGCAACCTCCTGTATGCAGAGGTGCAGAATTTCAAAACGAGTGTTTAGGGTACCACCTGATGAACTTCACATATGGTTAACCTTCTGTTAATCGACCACAATACAACCCTGATTGCGGTTTGCGAAAGAAATTATTCACTTCTAATTACTCATCAACATAAATAATCTTAGCATATATATGCTTAATGTGGCAAAGATCCGGGGAACAGACTTAGAAATCGGTAAGAAGATAGCACTTTGGACCTCATAAAAATGTAGTAGCTTCCTTTTTCTCTAAAAGCCTTGGGACAAGTAGAATATAAGACTTCTTAAAACCGTAACAAGGCAAGCTGGCCAAGTAAACCAAATTACCTGTACTCGTGAAAATGTCTCCGCCTCTAATTAAAAATGTGTGCGACGCTTTAATTGCCCATTTGAGTGAGATAATAGATGTGTGCTTTAACGGCGGCTCGAAATCAGAGAGACCTAGCTTTTAGAATACTCTACCTTGCAAAATGATCGGCATCTTATTGACCATCTTATTTTTTAGGGCCGTAATTATTTAATTAATAAATGGTATTTATTATATAATTTAATGGTGTTTAACTTAAGCATTCCTTATTCCATTTTTGATTTATTAACCAAACAATTCTTTGACGTTTTTACATTGATCAAGAGGATCACTTACATCTTCCCTTGATAAGATTAACTCACAGCTCAAGTAATTGGTTGTTTCACTGCTAATTGACCTTCCAACTACTGACTCATATTGCAAAGATATATCGGATAGTTAACATGTTTGCTTATTAGCAGTTGATTAAAACTGCTTAGTTGAAGTAGAATTTACTTTTACTTGTTGATCTTCGAATACTCTCCTCACGCTCAAAATGAATTATTCATGGAGCGGACGAGTTCCAGCATAGAACTACCATATTCCTGATATACCAGTCTGAATAGTATTCCTAGCTGCTAGTAAGACACTAAGCGAAAGTCTACCAATTTGGATGACTTATTAAGCCACGCAGTAAGAAACCAGCCTCATTATCCATGCAACGCTTATATAAGAAAATCATATTAAACTGATAAAAAGGTCAAACATGGTACACCACATGGTAAAACGCAGTGAGAAGAACTGTTGAATTGTTTTCAAGATCAGTAATATTTTTTCTCTGTGTGCCAGTTATCTTCAGATAATTTTGCGGGAAACTAAGGCACTTAGTTGAACCACACTTTGCACTGCGATCGGAACATACTGAACTCTTAAACTGTTTACAATGGCCCTGAACACAAACAAATAGAGTTATGGGGAAGTATACGCGAACTCGATGGGAAGTCTTATTTGTTATACAAAGGCCTCTTCGCCGATTCTAAAGCCTGCTGTCACGTCTATTCACAATACGAATAAATGTGGTTATAAATACACATCTGTGTGTATATGTATCTCTACAAAAGACGGCAGAAAATAATGACAAACGCGCAGTGAAATGCAAAATGTAGGAAGAAAACATTTTTTAAGTCTTATTGTTTTACTCATTTTGTTGTTCCTAACAATTCCCACCTGACTTTGATGCTTCGCGCACCCTAACCGTCGTGTTAATTGCCCAAGTGACTAAGCATATGTGGGAAAGTGCAAAGGTGAGCTGAGTAAATGTCACCAAAAATTATGGGAAATTCCAGTATCAAAATGATCTATAAGACAGTTGAAGGAATCTAGTTTTTTGAATAAGAACTAACACAGCTTATTGGCAAACCAGTTATAACAGACTCTTTACTAGTTTCAACTTAGAATGACTTTCAATTCGCACTCAATTAAGAAATACTATGGCTTCAGCTTCCTTGTGACCCAGAAACGTGTCATTCAACCAATCGGATCAAAGGGATGGGACCCGCAAGTGCATTCACAGTCGAGTGGTTTTTTAGATGATGTTGACCCAGTCACCAATCCACCTTGACCTTGAGAGCGATTCTCCACACGCAGCCCAGAGCTTGCGAGCAAAATGTGGGTTTCTGTTTTGAACGTACTCATTTAATTGAGCATTTAAAGTTGACTTGGCGAAAATGAGAAAGTTCGGAATGTTTTACCATATATAGGCCAGGATTAAGCCAAAGTTTCTCTCATATATTGCAGTATTTTTGTATGATGTGACCAGAAGTTTTTATTGCTCCATTTTTTTTATAAATCTTCAAATTTTTTTTTAAAGTAAGCGGTGTCCAGAAAATATGCACAGAACAATAGTTATGCAGTAAGCGTTGCTACAAGTATCCAACAAATTTGTTTTAAAGATATGTTTTGATAATGATCGTTTATAGAAAGCAATGGTGTGTAAAATTAAAAAATAAATTTACGTTTTAGGTAATATCCAATCAATTTCAATTACTCATAGATAAACACGCTTGTTGTACTTTTTGGGTATGGGCAAGCAGATAGAACTAGATGAAGAACTTATTTGCGTATCGATACTTTAGGCATCTTTCACGATTTCAATTTGCCTATGCTTGGGCCCTGTTTTGCAGAGCAAAAATACAGTTAGTCCTTTTAAAATTGTTTGCGACTTTCTCTCCCTTCTCTTCTCCTATTTTTTCTATAATCCCTTCTGGTCCTTCTCTGTTCTGATACTTTTACAAAGCTAAAAAAAATATATATCAATACTTTTAAATAATATTTATGTCAAGTTTTGAATACATTTTTTGTTCCTCTTCTTCCATGGATATAAGTCATATTTATCCCATTTTGGTAGCATCAACCTCTCTTTTCTCTTCAACCCCATTTACCCGCTTTTTCTTCGAGTGACATTAAAAATGTAAAATGTAAAACACACCTCTTTTTACACAAGCATTCTACATGGCATACTTTTGGGCGCTTGGCTCACAGTGAAGGGCAAAAAATTTGGCATACCATATAAAAGAATTATACGAAAAATGGTTTTTATACCCGTTACTCGTAGAGTAAAAGGGTATACTAGATTCGTCGGAAAGTATGTAACAGGCAGAAGGAAGCGTTTCCGACCCCACAAAGTATATATATTCTTGATCAGGATCACTAGCCGAGTCGATCTAGCCATGTCCGTCTGTCCGTCTGTCCGTCTGTCCGTATGAACGCTGAGATCTCGGAAACTATGAGAGTTACAATACTTGGATTAGGCACGCAGATTCCTGAGATTCCTGCGCAGCGCAAGTTTGTTTCAGCACAGTGCCACGCCCACTCTAACGCCCACAAACCGCCCAAAACTGTGGCTCCTACAGTTTTGATGCTAGAATAAAAATTTTAACTGAAATGTATTGGTCTCGTCGATACCTATCGATTGATCCAAAAAAAAATTTGCCACGCCCACTCTAACGCCCATAACGCTTAAATCTGTATACCGCCGGTAGGTGGCGCATTTTAATCTCGCTTTGCTGCTTGCATATCTCCATATAGCTGAGTAACGGGTATCTGATAGTCGAGGTACTCGACTATAGCGTTCTTCCTTGTTTTTAAATGTAACCAAATTAAAAGATACATATTGAAAACAAAAGAAAAGAAATCGTAAGTCTACAGCGGAATTCGATCCCCATACAGCTTGGATGAGTAGTCAGATGTGTTATTCTCTAAGCCAAATGGCAAGCAGGGCCACAGCCAGCTAGATTCCAACTAGAATCGAACATTGCGGGTCCTAAGCCAAATGGCAAGCAGGGCCACAGCCAACTAGATTCCAACTGGAATCAAACATTGAGGGTCCCACGGTTAAACTGCGGGTTCCACCGCTAGGACCCCATATGACAGATTCTTTTGTATGACCTGTCCCCTCTTTGTATTCGTACTTCTTGGTTCTTCGTTCATTACTAAGTAGAGAGAGAGAGAGAGACTTTCTTTTTCGTAAACTCTACAAGCCCCTCACGAATCACGAGGTGTTTCCACCTCAAATATACAATTTAAATGCAAAACAGACAATGGTCAATAATCGAAATTATTCCCGACAGTCCATAAAGTTCCCTGAAAAGTTCCAAAAGACAATTGCATTTCATCCGGGGGCTTGTCTCCATTCCAACATTTCGACTTGCCAGCATATAAACATTTCTGATTTATTAGGGTTAACACACTCTCAGGCTCTCAGGTTCAATTCACGTGTGGTTGGCTGTGGGCCCGTATGGGTGGATAATGAGTACCCATTACCGCACTCGGCACTTGGAAAGCTCTTGGTCCTAATCGCACGGCTTGACCTTTTGGCCACAATTGAAACTGCGGCCCACAATAGGGCTGAAAGGCAGAAGAACAAATGGTGAAAAACGAGAGAGAGCACGGTACTGGGGAGAATCGCTAATGATGCCAAGCCGCTCGGATGATTCATGGCAGCCTCATTACCAAGTTGCAATCGCGACTGTGGGAGGTTGGGCTCCGAGTCAGAGACCCTTTAAACTTAACCTTCAGGCCGCCAGCCCCGGCTAAATTGCTACCCACAACTATACACAGAGGAAAACTTACAAACCGGTAGATAGGGTCTTATTGTCTACGTTATTATCAAATCGAGATGGAAAATTCCTCTGGTAAGCCAGCCCACTTTGGCAAAACTGCAAGATCCATACAATATTCAAACTTAATCTTTAATGAAAAAGGCTGCAAAATAAAAATGTTAAGGGCTGAAATCTTTTTGAGTCATGAGGACCACATCTAGGGTAAATTATTTAGAGTTTCTGACAATTGCTTTTAATCAATCGTTATTTTTTTAAGTTTTAATTTTTTACCATTCAGCGTGATACCGCCGACGACTTGTCTACTACGCCCGATTTCTGGGTGTGGCAAAAAGGCATTTTGTTCGGTTTCCTTTCGCCAGCTCTTTCGCTGCATTTTGTCGGCGCTTTCGGGCCGACTTCTTGGTTTAAATGGCTTGGACCAACGCTGTTCGAGCTCATTCCTCAGCCGGGCCGCGAGAAAGTTGGACGTAAAGTAAGCGCCGCCGAAGAAAGCAGAAGACAGCACGGCACACAAAGACAATCCGATTCTTTATTCAAGAACAAACAGTGAACTGGTTGTGGGCTGGCTCTCTGACCCACTTCCAACCCGAAACGAAAGAATTTCCGCTGCAAAGTGAAACCCACTGGGATTTCGGATTTCGGCGTCTTAAATTCTTTCCCGACCATTTCACTTTCGCTCGTAAAGAGCAGCCAGCTACGTCATCTAACCGAAATTAACATATGTCTATCCATAAACCGAAGAGAGTGGTCAAAACGTGCTAATCAGTTACGAAACTTGCAAAAAGTGAAACACCGCCCATCTATAATTTCCGACTTGTACTTTCATGCAGACGAACCGAAAAATGTGCCTCAAGATTGGATTTATTTTGCTCGCCTCTGTGCTGGGCACCACCTTGGCCCAGGAACAGCGTAAGTACCGATCAAACCGTATAATATGTGAGATACCATTGGGCCGCGGCTTTCTAAGTTACATCAATCGCGGCGCCGACTTTCCAGCCGGTCCTTAGACACGTCCACCGACCAACTTGGCCTAAGTGGCCCATGGATTTGGCACTGACTAATTACCCTCCCCAAAGACGTGCCTTGGCAACAACGAAAGTCGACCAGTGCCGGATCTGGACAAGTACTTTCCAGAACGGCAATTGATGGCCACGATAGCCTGGGTTAATAGTTCAGGCTCAGCCGTTCTTTACCCGGTTTCATAAAATTAGACAGAAGAGAAACCATAAAGTGGAGGATATGTTTTCAAAAAGTTTCCATTTATTGGGCACTAAAAAGCTTACAGTCTCATTAAAAATTGGAACAGCCATCTCGGAAATCATCAAGCAAAGTTTTACTTCTTTTGTTGCACAACTTGTTCCTGAAAGTACAAATTTATCGTAGCATCGCTTTTAGCTGGACTCCTAGCTTTGAGCGATTAAACAGAATGAAGTCAAATAACAAAAATTATTGAGCTAGAACCAATTCACAATTCCGAAACCCCAAAAACTCACCCATTCAAATAGCGTTAAGTTATAGAGAACACGCTCATAACAAACCCTAGGGAAACATACCCCTGAACCCGCAATTCGATTGGTTTTCACATATACCCTTCCCACCACCACTACGTTAATTAACCCGGCAATAAACCTGTCACCAGTTTGTCCCATCCCAGGGACTCGTTCAGACCGAACATGTTCACAACGATCATTGTGAGATCGGCGAGGTAATTGTGAACTTGAACCCACGTCAGCTGACGCATTCACCTGGGAATCGCAATTAACGGCAGGAAAGCGAATCTTCAGTTTCATTGTGAGCCCATTGGGAAAAGGCAAAACATGACATTTAGAGACCACTGCATGCATTATTTAAACCCATTGTCTCACCCTGCGAACTCTATGTTTTCCAGCCTACTACCTGCAACAATGTCCCCGGGATGAGGCTCAGATCAATGAATGTCTTCGGGAAAGTGGCAACAAGCTGGTCCACTACCTGCAGAAGGGAGTTCCCGAGTTGGACATCTATGAGGTGAGATAAACTTCCTAAGAGAAATTTCCTATTACTGGGAAATAAATAATATTTCCGGTAGAGACGACTCGATTATTAGTTATTTATTATCGGTTTTTAATTCCCCATATATTTCTTAGAAGTTTGATACGCAACGAAGAACATTTGCGTGCCTTTTATATATAATGGGTGATCATTGTGCCCCCTTTATCTTTGAAGTTTATGTATTTTTTTTGGGTTATCTGTATCTTATGTTAAAGAGGGGTTTTGATTTAGATTTTGGGAACTTCCTCACTACCACATCCTAATTAATCAAATTACTTTCCTTGATAGATCGAACCCGTTATGATTGATGAGATCGGCATTGTGCTGGGCAGTGGTCCGGATGGCTATCGCGCTCTTTTCCGGAATATTCAAGCCTACGGTGTGAGCAATATTACGGTCACCAATATTCGGTAAGCTAACCACTTCCTTAATACTAAGGGAAAATGTTTGAAATATGCCTTGAAGTTCAGATTTGCTCTGAAGTGTTGCACTTATCCAGACATGATATTTTTTGCCGTTGATAAAAGTTCTTCACGTTTGAATTGTTGATTAATTCGTGTCGGAGACTTAATCGGCTTTAATTGTCTTCAAATTATTGTTCTAGATGTCTATTAAAATTTCCATTTAATGAGGTTTGCTGGGGCACTCTTAATAGCACAGTTCCCGTGTAAAGCAATTTCCAGTACAATTGAATTTAATAGTCAAGTCTTTATTACCCAGTGGTCAAGATTAAGTACATTCAATACAAAATACTTCTCAAATACGTTAATTTAAAATACATTTTAAACAGCATAGAGGTTTTAAAAAAGTTTAAAAAAAGTTAGACCCTCACTCATCCCGGACCAAATGATTTTGGAATAGTCTAAATGCACATATTGGTCTTCATTACCTAAGGGGGACAAAAGGAACTTCGTTTCCCTTATTATTATAATTTAATTTGCTGCTCATTCGCTTAACCGCCCAGTGCATCGGTCAGTTAGTCAATCAGCCAGTTGGCCACTCAATCAGTGTCGCCCAGCACGCGATCTGTACTTAACATTTTGTCAACATTGTGGGAGTTCATTTGAACGAGCGCAGTTTCCACTCATTTGGCGGGGTTTGCCAAAGCCTTGTGAATACCTTATGGCTCATAGTCTTGATTTATGGATAGAACGTTTGGCACACGATGGGAAATCGATTGAGCAATAACCCATTTGCATTTCAATGGTTCTTTAACTCTTACTTGAACGCTTTATGTTTGCCCAGATCAATTTGCATTCGCACGGGTTTTTTTATTTAAATATATTTGTGATGCGTAATTATCGATGACAAGGTGTTTGCCCATTCTGGTTGGCTCTACCTATTCTGGGTTGCATGAGAGAACTGGGAACTCAAAGCCATGGTTTATCTGGAAATAGTTAGATATATGAATATATTACAATGGTTCGCTGGAAATGTGTTTCAATGAAAATTAACGATTAATTCAGTTAATGGGGAGTTTTTTAAAATGGGGAAATAACTCCAACAAAAATATAGGAGCAAAGCTCTCACTCAAGACAAACAAAAGTCAATCGTATCAATTTAAATGTAGTTGTCATTTTTTGAAGAAATATGTCGTTTATATTGTAAACTTTAAATTAGTATATTAAGCCACCTTTATAAGCATTTTGTTGTACAATCTAAAGTTTTATACGGTCCAAACTGTATTTCATTTCATTCTGTTAAAAATTGTTTACACTTAAAAGAAGCTACTCTCCCTATCTCCATAATGACCTCAGATTTCGTACCGATCTCTAATTATGCAACGCCCAAAGCCAAGAACCATCTAAGCCTAACTTTCCGGTATTTGGAACGACAGTTCCACCAACAATAGTTGTACCAACAACTGCAACGCCGTCGACCGTCAATTTGGCTATAGGCACTTGGCTCTCAGTTGGCGAAAATAATAGATTCCGAGTGACAGAGACAAAACACGGCACAGGTAAAGACGACTGGCCCACAGATCGTTGACCAAGCAACGAGCCAGAAAAGTGTGCCAACGCTAGATTCTCTAAGTGGAAAGCAATCTTTGGGCCGGTTCCAATATCGGTTTCGATTTCTGTGGCTACTTACCCTGATAAAGGGTACTCAAAACGCATTCAGCCATTGGATATAAATTAAAAAAAGTCTTTTCAAGATTGAGTATTTTTTAAAAAAGCTTGAACACGGGCAATTGTATGCGAGCATTTAAAATTTCGCCAAATAGGAAATTTCATAGCTGTCTTGTTCTTACAAGGGTATTCAGAATTTATCGTTTTGTTCTTTGTTTCTTGTATTGAATTGGCTTCTCCAAATGAAGGTCTACCGGTTCCAACCGTATTCTCTTTGATATCGAAAATTAGACTTAAGAGAGCTTCAAGGCTGAAAAGATACGACAAAAATAGTCGGCTCATCTTCGAATGAGCCGAATGAAATGCAGTTTTTCGCTAAGCTCATTACTTCTCAGATTGTCACTGTCATTGCCATTAGGGGCGCCCATTAACATCCATATCTCTGTATCTGTTTTGCAGCTCCGACTTGGACTCGCTGCAGTTCCAGCTGACGTGCGAGATACCCCGCATTCGCGTCAAGGCTCAGTATAGATCCACAGGTGTTCTGATCTTGGTGAAGGCCTCCGGAGCCGGCGACTACTGGGGGGAGTATGGTGGGTACCGGGCTTCTGGGCTGGGATGACGCTCTACTAATGACTCTCGATCACGCAGAGGGAGTGAAGGCCAAGATCTACTTCAAGGCGCTGGCAAACGAGGGACCCGACGGGCGAACCTATCTGACGACGGACTCCGTCAAGATGGACTTCAATGTCAAGGAGATCCAAATGGGGGTGGACAACATCGCCAATGGCAATTCTGTCATACGTAAGTGGTAGCGATAAGCAAGGTGGAGTATATATTTAAATATGAAAATCTGTCATCTCCCACAGAGGCTGCCCTCAACCTGTTCATCAACTCCAACTCCCAGGAGCTGCTCAAGGAAATGAAGCCGGCGCTCAGAACCAAACTCACTTTGGTCATCCGCAACTTCATGGATCGCATCTTCGCCAAGATCCCTCTGGACGAGTGGATCAATCTGAATTAGAATGTAGTTTCCCTAGCCTAAGTCCTTATTTATTGCACCCAGTTCAAGCTAAATAAACAAAGTAAAGACGATCGAGGATGGCTCTTACTCAAAACGGGTGCTGCGTAACCCGAGCCTGGTTACTATATCATCAGAGTCGTTAAGCATTAGGCAACTGGGGTCGGAGTTATCATTAAATGCACGTTAGCTGCCCGGTTTGTTCAGGCTTGTAACGCTAATTCAAGGTCTTGTTCATCTGAATGAATGGGAAATGTGGGAAAAGGTTCGTAAGTAACAGGAAGTGAAAGAAGAAGGGTTCACTATTGTTTATAATGTTCATAATAATAAAAGTGTTTAAAAAACATTTATGACTGGGTAAAGCAAGAACGCAGGGCCGCGTGTCTTAGTCAGTCGAAGTCTTAGTCTTCTTACTTTCCTTGCCCGTTGCTGGTTTACTTTTCTTGCTTTTGGAGAAAGTTTGGATCTTTTCCTTAAAAACCCCTATGAAGACGACCCTTCCTCGCCTAAATCCCCATAACTGGCTGAACCAATCCCCATGACCAACGGGCACCACATCCGATTGAATAATAAACTGTGAGTGAGCAACAAACATCGCAGCTCACCCCAACTTATCTAATGCAGCTATCACTGGGATGAGGCCTGGGAAATTATCTTTGGCTCCCGAATTGCGTGCATCTCGACAATTTTCCTCGACAATCAGCCTCCGCATCGGACCATGTCAAAGGCAGGCAGTCCTAGCTGTCTTCCCAGACCTCAAGTCGGGGAAAGCTTTTCGCCAGGGGATCGCCATTCATTGTGCAATCCGCGCAGCACAATTTCCAAAGTTAACAGATTGTCAACACACGACTCCCCATCAAAGATGTTCGCGTGGCGTAATTACGACAGGCACGATAGCGACTAGAACGATCTTCCTGGCCCCTGCCCCTTGATTTTGGACCGGAGCTTAACTACCAAGCGACTGACCCCTCACTCACTGCGATCACCACACTCGGAGGAATTTATTTGTATATTGTATTTGTGTATAAATATGTGCTTCCTAGGCAAGCTCAGTCAATCACTAGGTAAACAAGTATTTTTACTACGAAAATATCCTGTCCATCTGAATGGACATGGATTTTTGGGAATTGTAAGAACTTCAGATGTATGTTTCATTGCTCTTGTCATAGTTCTATCTTACCCCTCAGAGTAATTGATAAAACCTTTAAAATGTTTAACCAAATTTTTTAGCAGATTGTCACGCCCACTCTTAAGTCCACACGGCGCACCAGTTGTGATGCCAAAACTTAAGACTAAGACTTTGCTTAAAAATACATTTTTTTTAATTTCCCTAGTCAATAGATATGGATTATTGTTTTAATCGGGCCATTAGTTATTTTATTGGGACTCTATTTTCAAGAAAATGGTCTGTGCCGTTGATGTTAATGTAAAGTAGATAATACTGTAGGCACCGACGTTTCTTCGCCTTTAATCGAACGCTTTCTTATGTATTTTTAAGTTAGTTAAACGAGTAAGGGGTATACCATACGGTTCACGGTTTTCTTTTAATTATCCTGCAAGGTGAAGCTGCAATGACAATAATTTGTACAAATATACAACTACAATACATTCTTAAGGCATGTTTTTTTCAAGTGCATATTCTGGGAGAAACATTTTGGGTAGCAACGTCGGCGTTATGGTGTCAGCTTCCGGCTTGACCTGCAGTCTGCATTTTCCCGGCCAACTGATAATTTTCCCGCTCGCCTGACTGCGTCTGCTTGGGTTTGTCACCGAGATACATTAATGTGGATGGAGTCAATCTCTATTATAATTATTAAACAGTAGCTGCTTAGCGTCTGGCCGCCCTCTCTTTCCCTCTCTCTCTTTCCCTCGGTATAAGTAGTTGGTCATCTCTTTCTAGTTGCTCAAGCTCACCTGGCGATTTCTGGGGGAGGGGGCGTCGAAGGGGCGTGGCAGGGGCGTGCAAGTTCTATGTCGTGTGTTTTCAGTCCATAGCTTGCCCAAGCTCTCATGTAAATCGTAGCGTAATTTTTGCTATAAAACACGCCGGTCTCAACAACTTAGCATTCAGTACGATACGTTGACGGTTACTAAAACAACACCCGGCTCAAACAGCTCGAGAACGTTGAGCAGCCTTCGACAGCTTAAAAAGATAACAAATCAGTGCCAAAACAAATAATTGCAGTTTATATTAAAATATCTGCTAAGTTGTGTAAGTTTCGACGCTGCGGCTTATCCTTAAGAATTCGCGTAATGAACCCAAAGTTTCAGTAATCTACACAGACAAACTACGAAGTTCAAATTAACATAATAAAGGAACGTTGAAGATAAAGGTCAACCTTAATTGATAGCAAAATATTTTAAAATACATTTTTTTCAAGTTCCTAATCCTAAATGGAAAAATTTAAAGGAAGCAAAAGAAAAATATTGTGTCCTTAGGTAAAATCAAATAACAATCTGGAATAAGGAGTATTTATATTAAATTTTATTTAATAAACCATTAATATAAAAAATTCACGCACCCGCGTTTCACATTTTTCGGAGGAAATGTTAAAAGGCAAAGATTAATTATATTTTCAACTCTAAAAATACTCCTTTGAAATTATATTTAACCTTTGCAATCATTTTTAAAAATCATTAGGTCTCGATCAAAATTAAATACAAACTTGCAACAAAACTGGTAGCAAATGACAGTAATTGAGCAGTCTAGGGCCTCCTCCCAGTTATTAGACTGAGTCGCAGCGACAAAATGCCTATAATCAACCACTTCAAATGTTAATAGAAATGGGAGGTGGATCATTTAAGGGCGGGTTCCGTCGCTTGAATGAGTGGGGGTTAATAAACCCCTATTAACAATCTTTGACGTCAACCAAAATGATTAAAAACAAAAATTGTGTCTACTTTTTACCATATCGTTCCACAGAAAACAATTGAATATAAAGAAGCAAAATGCAGTCCTTACTTATCGTGGCCTCTCTCCTGATCTGTTTCATGGGTTGCAGCTCAGCTGGCAATATGCGTAAGTCATACCTCCCCTCCTAAACATTTTCAGTGTACTTACCAAATGTACCCCTTAGCTGACTATATCCAGGTGTGCCATCGCAATGATCCCGAACTGTCAAAGTGCCTTAAGAACAGTGTTCACAATTTGCGACCCTACTTGGCTAAAGGTATTAAGGAATTGAATGTACCACCACTAGAGCCCCTGTACATTGGAGATCTTGCCATTTTGGATGGGTCCGCTGGACTTACGGTTAAGGCCAGAAAACTGAACGTCCTGGGGGCCTCGAACTTCGAAATCACTAAGCTGAGGGCGTCCACCCAAAATCGTCGATTCGACTTCGAGTTGATTTTACCCCATCTCCACGGCGATGGCATGTACGAGATCAATGGCAACATCCTGGCGTTGCCCATCAAGGGTAATGGACCATTCACAGGAAATTTTACCAACTTTGTGGCTTATGTGCGCGTCCAATATGATATCAAGAACGTTAATGATCTGGAATATCTGCACGTTAAGGAATTCGCTTTAAAGATTCGCACTGGCAAGGGATACCTTAAGCTGGAGAACCTCTTTAATGGAGATAAAGTTTTGGGTGACGTCATCAATGACACTATTAACCAAAATTTCGAGGTCTTTACCAACGATTTGATAGCACCGATTGCCCGCGCTCTGGAGGCCGAATTCAAGGTCGTCACGACCAAAATCCTGGAGAACTTTACCTACAGCGAGCTCTTCCCGGTCTAACAGGCAACTGAAATTAGGCTAGCATTAAGTTTGTGATACACTCGAATTGTTTTAATTAGTCCTAAATTATTCAATAAATCTAACAAATTTGAGCAGACATTTAAGCTTTAATATTTATTTATCCAAAAGACAAAAACATTGAACTGGCATTTATCTAAATTCACCTCGCCACTGAGCTGAATCTTAAGTTCCTTTTTCAAATTAAAAGGGATTTTATGCACAAGATTGTGGCTCCTACGTTTTTTAAGATTTACTTTTAAAATATATTTTCGTTTATTTCGCTTAGCAATACACTTAAAAAATTAAACAGGAACGTTCTATAAAATTGCAATCGTTATTGCAATTTTTAAAACGAACCTAAATCTGAGATGCAAATACAGGTTTGATTTACAGGTTTGATTTACAGGTTTGATTCACCTGTAAGATCTGCTGGGACAATGACATTTTCGTTCAAATCCTCGCAGCGAACGGCCCTGACTTAACATTTTCAAGAAGTTTCTTCAAGTTTTCTTTAATACTTGGAAATTGTTTTTTAATTTTTAGATCCGTAAATAAAAATGTTTTAATAAGAATACAAGAATACAACAACTTTCTTGAAGGAGGGACTTCATACAAAAAAACATGTAATGGTGACAACTTCCCCAACCTATAAAAAATAGATAATGCACAAAGAATAGTTGTTTACCCATAACATTGTGAAATGTGCAAAAAATGGTAATAAACACTTTAAATTGATTATTTATTAATTTTTTTATCTTTATTATTTTTATTATTATTTATAATATTTATTTACATGGGAGCTACTTATAAACACTTACTTTTTACAATTAGTTAAATCGAACCGGGATTGCAACCATCGGACCACCAGCTGAATGAACACGTCTTGAACACACGCCCCAGAGATTATGGGACAGACACTGTAAGCACTCTAAATGCAGTAAAATAGATAATTGTAATTTAAAAGTAGGGATGTCGGAAATATATCAAAATATCGATATATCGATATTTTTCTCTTAAAAAAAATATTATCATCGCGATATTTATTGGGCAAAAAAAGACGATTTTGAAGATATTTTTTTTTGATATTTCCGATTTTTTATGTTTGGTCACTCTTAAGCTCTTAAGCCAGAAAGCAAAGTGAGAAGTGTATGTGAAAATGAGTGCGGCAAAAGATTTTTATACAGAATCAAATGATACTTCTGCGAAATGCACACAGAAATGCTCTCAGTGGAGGAGCTTAATATTTGTCGCGATTTTTGCCATGTTCTCCACGCTTTTAAAGAAGCCAATGGTAATGCGAGCGGCGATTCTTATGATTTCTATGATTAATACAAAATTAAAAGAAGCTAATATGGATACCGCTGAGGGCATTCTAACAAAATATACCCTTCAACAAATATCACAAAAGCGATTGAGTGGTTTGCTGCAGAATATCATACTCATGAAAGGCACAATGCTTGATCCTCGATTTAAAAAAGCATACAGGAATCTTTTCTAGATCTGCACAACAGGACCATAGAGCTCCGAGGCTCTGTAGTCCAGAGTTCCGAAAGAAAGGAAATGCAGCTTTTCTTTAGTATGCCATTTTGTAGTTGGGGGACAAATCCTTTGGATTTCTGCATCTCACAAAAATCAACAATGCCCATGCTAGCGAAGGTGGCATTAAGTTGCCTGATCACGCCTGGTAGTTCGGTTTCATCGGAACGGTTGGCTTCTGCCATAAAGTACCAGCATGTAACCGAACGAGTTTTTCTTAAATCATTAAAAACAGATTTGTTTGCGAATTAATTAAAAAAAGTACAAATGTATGTAATTTCATGAAATATAATTAAAAACAATAAGTTCAAATGTATGTAAACAGTATCTTTATAATTAAAATTGAAAATTTTTGAAAATTTATTTTATTTATTTATTTATCTAATGCTAACAAATAGTATTAAACTAAGCGCTAACAGGGGTTTTTTATTTTGGAGCCATAGCAGCTTAGGCCTTCGGCTCGGGGCTTAAGTTGTGGGTTTACTGTGGGAGTATATACATATGTACAAGATTATACTATTTATGGGATCCTTAGATTCTAATTGTATTTACATTGATGTTTATTTATATTTTGTTCATTATTTTTGAACTTTTAGGAACTGTATGATGTTGTGGGAGTTTGAGTTTGAGGGATTGGCTACTATTTTCTTATTATTTTTTATAAAAGACCTATAAAAGACCCAAATTTATAGCAACAGGGCACCATTTTTCAAATTTAGCTGAACATTAAAAAATATCAAAAAAATCGATACATCGATATTTTTTTATGATATTTCTTAATATCATCGTGTGATATTTTTCAAACAGCAAATATCATCGATACGATATTTTTTCAAAATCCAACAACCCTATTTAAAAGCATCAAAATAAAAAAAGAAATACAAATAACTTCAAAAATAAAGTATATAGTTTTTTTCTACCTTTTTAATTGCTGAGATCTAATCAATACTGTGTGGCGATCCTAAAATGGTTTCTTAATTGGTGCTTTTTGGCAATTTTTTTATTCAAATTTATTCGCTAATGTCGGGACGGCGCGAACGCCATTCCCGGCTACCAAAAATTACACGCACGAGTTATTCACATTAGGAATAATCGCAGAGGTCAACTCAGCCGAGGTGCAATGGCCAAGCCTCACTCCGGAGGAACCGCCTTCGTGATCACGGTTAACCTCTACGCCAGGTAAGTATGCTTTCACCAACTCGGCTCAGGGGTAGCCACGAGCGGGCAGCTAGAATAAGTTGGGAATTATAAATGGTTATGGGGAAAAATGTATGCCATGCGCAGTAGTTGTTTAAAATCGTTTGGCCAGCTCACAATGAGTCCTTGTATTTCTTGAAAGTCATTTCCTCAATTTGGCATACGTTTTAAGTTATATTTTTGGATTAAGATATTATATTAAATATAATTTGCATAAATTCTGATATATATATATTCAGATCCATTTAAATTAAATTGTGCTGTTTTACGTTTCCCCGCCATATTTCAATTGAACAGAGTACCTTTTTATTTATTCGATCTGGGTACTTTATTTTCAGAGATTTATTTTGTTGATTAAGAATACTCTAAAGATAGAATGTTCTCTGCTTGAATTATATTAAATTAAATATTAAAAGAGATATGTTTAAAAATCTCTTTTTTACTTGCGCAGGTCCGGCAACGCTTAATTCTTTGGAGGTGGCCAGTTTGCAGCTCTAAGCGATAGTATCGAAGTGGCATCGATTTGTGGCCCAGCCCTATCCGATAGTATCGGAGAAACATCGATTTTTGTTCCAGCTCTATACCATTGCTGCCCGAGTTTGCCCTCAATTAAAAATAAAATTACAAAATTTCACCGTTTCCGTTTGTAAAACGCAGCGCATCGCCCAGGCGTTCGAATTCCCATCCAACACAAGTGGTAGTATCGTTGTGAAACATGTCAACACCCGCACGCAGACGTCTTATGAGAGATTTTAAAAGGTGAGAAAAGAAAACTAGCAAGGAAAGGAGTCGAAACGAAAGGAAAGCAGGAAAACGAGAGGCGAGTCGCGAAGTACACACTATCGTCGGATTTTGCGGATTCGTGTTTCGTGGTGCGAAAAAATGTTGGAGAAAAGAAACCTGGGGCTGCGCTGCCCAATACATACATATAGGCAAACACACGGCCGCACATACGTGTGTGTGTGCTCCACGTCTGTATGTAGTGGAAAAGTTTGCGCAGCCAAAATACGAACGGGTGTGTGTGAGTGAGTGGTTGATTATTTTCGCTGCTTTTGCTCTTGCGAAAAACAACAACAAAAACAATTCGCTTGTCTTTGACACTTGACTTTGATGTGTGTGAGGTGCGGGGGGAAGACGCAAAGACGAGGAACAAGGGGAAAATTGGGAAAACCAAACAAAATTCTTCCGTCTTCTGCCGAAATTGCGTCGCAGCAAAACATTAACAGCATTGTTGTTTTCGGATTCGCCTGACTCAGCAGCTGCATCCTGCCCCTCGCCCTCCCTCTCCCGCTCGCACTTAACCTTGTTGACTCACGCAAAAGAGACGGCGCACTCCAATTGGAATTTCATTAGATTTCGTTTCTGAACTTTCATCATCTTCGAATATTCGAAAATTTGAATGTTGGCGCGGCACTGGACCGCAAGTTGCACTTGGGGAATACGAAACCAAATGTCAAGGCTGTTTGCGGGGGCGGGACTGTCAACCCCAAGGCAAAGTACCACCCGAAGGCCAGCAACAACAAGGCGTCTATCTCGCATTCCACAATTATCAAAAACTTGTCACTTATTTCAGCCACAACAACACATCGGATCTGTGGATTTCGAAAATATTTCATCACAGGAATACAAGGTTTCAATTGCTTAAAGCAATTATATTGGGATGCTAGGTTCATATATACGTTTACCAATGTTGTTCTTAAATAGGGAGTTCTGCAGAGAGTTCTTAATAGAACTTTTCGACGGATCTCTTGCACGTTCAAATTGAAATGAAGGGCAAGAAACTATTGGGAAGTGTTTTCAAACCGGGCTTTTAAAATTATTAGTAATGGATTGATATTTATTAAAGAAATACAAATCTAAATTTTTGGAATTTCCCTGGAGTTTTGCAAAACATTCCAGTTCAATTTTCAACTGTGTTTTAAATTTGGTATTATGTTTTTGTCTCTCTGTACACTCGCGTTTCTTTGCTTGTTTAATCGATGATTTCACTTGGCCCCAGTATCGATTTAAGCCGATTGAAGGGCGCGGTTAAACGGGTTGCGCCGCCCGCTTGTTGCTCTTTGCTGACCTAATTTCCCAGCCAATCCCTTCTAGCTAACTTCCAGATTGTGATTTCCGCTTTTCTTTCCTGAAATTAGTTCTTTGCCTATACTTTGTGTGCAGAAGAGGTAAACAAACATTGTTCGGCGACAGTAACAAAATAAAACCCGCTGATTCAGATTTAGTCAAGCCTATCGGGCTCTAACTGCCAAAAATATCACATTGTTCGACAGCTCAAAGTTTAATTGACGGTTAAAAAACAGGTTTTGCTTAATCTTCTGTTTTCAAATTTATTTCTGATAAGTGCGATTCGTCACTATGGTCGTTGCAAGAGTCGATCTACGTGCGTCAAGAACTGAACTTCATACATATGTATGTATATCAACATCTGTTGCCACAATGACATTTGTATTTAACTTCTTGGTTTTATTTATAAACAAAGCTTTTTGGCCTTAATGTTGTATATTACATGTGCATTTATACCCGTTACTCTTAGAGTAAAAGGGTATACTAGATTCGTCGGAATTTATGTAACAGGTAGAAGGAAGCGTTTTCGACCCCATAAAGAATATATGTATACTCTTGACCAGGATCACTAGCCGAGTCGATCTAGCCAGGACCGTCTTTCCGAATGAGCCCTGAGATCTCGTTTTCAGTTTTATAAGATCTAGAATGTTAGGACTTGGCAAGGACCTACGCAGCGCAAGTTTGTCTCAGCAGGGTGCCACGTCCACTCTAAATTTAAATGAGATTTATTTCTTATCAATACCCATCTATATGCAAAAAATTATTGAAATTGGACCAATAATTTAAAGGTTATACCCAAATAACAATCAATGTTTTCGAACTCAATCGAGATTGCACACTACATGCAGAAAATCAGCTGTTTTCACTATTATGGCACTAATCCGCTAGGAGCGTTATTGGCTAGGTGGAGCTATAAAAGTAGAACATAGGTGGCGCTCTAGGCTAGATGTCTTAGTGAAAAAGCAGAGTTTCTTTCAGTATATTTTCATCCCTTAATCTGACTAACGGGTATCTAATAGTCGAGGCCGTCGTCTATAGCGTTTTCTCTTGTATTGTTTATGTTAGCTGTATTATAATTTTCTTTTAATATCTTTTCTCTTCCCTTATTGCAGACTTCAGGAGGATCCACCAACGGGTGTTTCGGGTGCGCCAACAGATAATAATATTATGATATGGAATGCTGTGATTTTTGGTCCACACGATACACCATTCGAGGACGGAACCTTTAAGTTAACCATAGAATTTACGGAAGAGTATCCAAACAAACCGCCAACAGTTCGATTCGTATCGAAAGTGTTTCATCCCAATGTGTACGCAGACGGTGGAATTTGCTTGGACATATTGCAGAACCGTTGGAGTCCCACATACGACGTGTCAGCCATACTAACATCTATACAGGTGAGTAGTATTTGTGGGGAGCTCTTCAAACTTTTCTAACCTCTGCTGATTTGTGTCCCTAGTCACTGCTGAGCGATCCCAATCCCAATTCACCGGCTAACTCCACCGCCGCCCAGCTGTACAAAGAAAATCGCCGCGAGTACGAGAAGCGTGTGAAAGCCTGCGTGGAGCAGAGTTTCATCGATTAGCCATGCGCCCACTCTAGGAACAGCAGCAGCACCAGAAGCAGGAGCCACAACAGGAGCAGCAGCAGATTCGAGGGCGGTCGCAGCTTAAAAGATCAGCAAACTACAGCAACAAAAATATGCAATACCATAAAGAAGTTTAAATTAAATAATAACAGAAATATTTATGATAAATGTAATGCTATGAAATTGTAACAGCGCCAACGGCACGGCACAGCAGCATATTCACCACAACCGCTCACACACCTGCGCACACCACCCGCAACACATAAGCCCTGAGCAGTTTTCAGTTATAATTGTTTGGCCGATAGTTCCATCTTGTCCCTAACCCGATCCCGAATTCAGATCACTCAAAAACACCCGGAAGTTCACTGTAGCAGCAGCCGCTAGTTAAGCCGGCAGCCAGCAATAAGACTCTCATAAGCTAACAACTCAAATGTTATAATTCAAGTAGCAGCGGCAAAAAATTATTAATAATAATAATAAAAAAAATTATAAAATCCATGTCAAACAATTGCAAAATCCAATTAGTTTCATTTTAGATGTGCGCAATGCAAGTCCTGTAAAACTGAACTAAAACTGCATCTAAAAAATTGCAAAAATCTCAACAGAAAATATTTTTAGTAGTTCGTGTCGTAGCAAAACCCCACAGTTATGGCAGTGGAGCGTCCAATGTCGTCAATAATAACTACCTAAATCCTACATAAACATACACATGCTACCTAGATCGATTCATAAGTTTATTGGCTATAAATTGTGAAATTACTAGAAATTGAGAATTAAATGTTAGTTGTTAGCAATATAAACTAATCCACATGGTACGTGAACACAAATCTCCAAGTTGGGATCGAACAGGCAATTAAATATGTATGTATCTCTCTGTAGCATCCAGTGACCAATGCGCTATGCGTTTTGCACGATTATTTCATATCCGGACCCACACGCTATTTTTACCCTAACTATAAGATCTGATCCCTGATCTATTTCAAGATTACACCTTGATTTGGTCTGTTTCGATGGCGCTCGAGGAAGTGCGGGATCTTTCTTTAGTGTATAGTTGGTTGGAAACACCTCATAAACTGCCATTTTGCCACGCTATGTACTCTCTAGGTTCCACTGTGTCTTGGCTGCGGCAATTGATTTAGTTAGTTCTTAAGCGTTTACAATCGAGTCTTAATCTTGTTTTCTGTTGAATGCGAATTGCTGTTCCTTTTGCTACGAACCCTCCACTTTTTGGCACTTTGTGTTGGATGGATCGCGGAAACGTCGATGCGATGATGATGCTCTGAGCATCATGTTAATCTTATATATGAAAAACCTACCATATAGCAGCCTATTGTTTCATTAACTACGAACCAACTAAAGTAGAGAAAGCAAGTAATCCCAAATCAATTCACGGTAATGAAAAGCAAAGGATGAGTATTAAGGCGACCCATTCGAACGATGTGGAATTTAAAATTACCTTACTGTAATTAACATTATTATTATTAATAAAGTTTAAGATTTCAAATATCAATAAATGAAAATAACACAAAATCGCATTTATTTATTATGAAAAATCGTTATTTTGACCGATGAGATTCACATTTTCAAAGCATTATCTAAACTAATATGTAACACTTTTTTTAATTTCTCTGCGAATCGTATTTTTTGAGTAGAGACTCAGATACTTAGCTAAAGCAGCAAAGCGACTTATCCGATTTAACGAAATGGCTTCACCTAGCGGTGAAAAAGTTATTTGGGGATAACTTTTTAATAAACGGTGAGCTTTGATCAATTTTTGGCATAAACATGGTTTTACTTTATTGTTAATGGAATCAAAATAGCCATTATAGTTTCAGACATCTGTAATTTGTATACCCTTGCAGAGGGCATAATGATTTCATTCAGAAGTTTGCAACGCAGTGATGGAGACGTTTCCGACCCTATAAAGTATATATTCTTGATCAGCCTAGTGATGCTAGTCGATCTAGCCATGTCCGTCTGTCCGATTCTACGCAAACTAGTCTCTCAGTTTTCTAAAAGTCTTATTTCTATTGCAAGTAGTATATAAGTCGGAAAGAGACGGATCGGACAACTATATCCTATAGCTCCAATATAAGAGATCGGTTTGCCCAGGCATGGCTCGGCCTTTTTTTATTACTGACGCATTTATGATACTCCAGCGAATAAGATATTAATATTTTGTCTGAAATTCTGTTCAAAATTAAAAAGCAAATCACAAGTAACGAATACTAAATACTAAATAATTTCAAGGATTTCATACCAACACACCCCTACTGCGCATGGAAGAAAGTGTTGCTTAGGGGTGAGTTTCTACCATCGCAAGACCTTATAATTCCCAACTAATTCTAGCTTCTCGTCCATGGGAACATCGGTGTCGAGCTGAGCAAAGCATACTTACCTGGCGTAGAGGTTAACCGTGATCACGAAGGCGGTTCCTCCGGAGTGAGGCTTGGCCATTGCACCTCGGCTGAGTTGACCTCTGCGATTATTCCTAATGTGAATAACTCGTGCGTGTAATTTTTGGTAGCCGGGAATGGCGTTCGCGCCGTCCCGACATAAGCAAATAAATTTGTATATAAAAATAACAAAGACACCAAGTAAAAAACCGTTTTGTGATCGCCTCAAAATATTATTTGGGAATCCCCAAATTCCAAAATTGTCATGAATTTTGTTTTTTTATTCTTTGGGTGATTGGTCTTTACGAAAGTCGCAACACGATTTGGCGCCGCTGGTTATGTTGCCCGCAATAGATCCGAATCCTCAGATCCAATGCGATGAAGATCACAAAACCGCTTAACAATCGGTCCAAACGAGGAGTCAGTCGAAGCATCCTTACTGTAGTCAGCGTCAAGCTGGCTTCTTTCTTATGCGTTTGACAGACTGGCAACGCAAATGGTCATCCACTTTTTGACTGATAAAGTCTGGAGTTATAGTAGCCACTTACTTCGTTAAACTGATAAAATTTATGGGGATAGGCAAAATCTTTCTCATCGTCAATAACTGTCTGCCGAAGCATCCAAAACGGCTTTCAAATTCTCTTGCGACGAGGAAGAAGTATTAGCAATATATTGGAAATTGCGGTCAGAATCAAATTTCTGTGTCCTAGCCTCCTTGGACCTGACGGAGGTCACCCTTGCATTACCACCTCTAGACGACCATAAAAACTTCTTGCTAGCACTGACATTTAAATTGATAATTATAAATAGATTGGAAAACGAAGAACCACCGCAGTTAGCCACATTCGTATCATCACCACATAGAGGGTCCTCAATAGCTTGATCAGCGACCGACATGATGAGGACCAGCAAGGCGGCCGGCCAATGAATGCAGGCACGGACGCATGAACATTTTCCTAATACACATGAATTTTTATACCCGTTACTCGTAGAGTAAAAGGGTATACTAGAATCGTTGGGAAGTATGTAACAGGCAGAAGGAAGCGTTGCCGACCCCATAGAGTATATATATTCTTGATCAGGATCACTAGCCGAGTCGATCTAGCCATGTCCGTCAATTATGTACTGAAAAAAAGAGAGAAGGCTACAGTCGAAATCGCGAAATCCTATCGCCCGCCTTCCCCATACCATTGTTCTTCTTAACGCGCACGTGTAAATAGAAAGATCCTATTTTTCAAAGTTACCCTTTAACCATGGCCCCCGGGCCACCTAATTTAGGGCCTTAGCGTTAGCCCCAAAGCCAAGAAAAAAAGACAATACCAGAAACTACCAGTAGCAACCCCGACAACATCACATCGGTCTCCACTCTCCGTGATGGAAACCTTCTCATGCTGGTCAATTCCAAGGAAGTCAATGATACATTTTCCAGAGTCACCTCTTTACCCGGACTATGTGATATTGAGTGCAAACTTCGTTAAAGGCACTATTTACGCACCCTGCTTAATTACCATCCCAATGAAAAATGAAAATGAAATTGTTAAGGAACTAAAATCTCAAAACGTTCACAGTGTTTATAAGTTTACAAAAATGATCGACGGCACTCCCAAGCCATTTGGCAAAAATCTCTTAACATTTGACCGCTACACTCTTCCGACCAAACTAGGAATATATTCCAAACCCTATAAGGTGTAAATCATGCCAATTACTGGACACACATTGAAGCACTGCAAGAACCCAGCCGCCTGTGCAGCATGCAATCTCGCTCCCCACCTTCCCGTCTCCTGCACTCGCATTTTTTGTGCAAATTGTAACGGTGACCATCCCGCTTTTTCACCCTCATGCCCACAATATCAAACACAAAATAATCTTCTGAAGCTCGCATGATATTAAAACAACAACAAAACACCACAACAACACCACCTAACAGCCGCTTCCGGCAAATCAGACAACGCAAAAGCACCAAAACACGATAAGACGACCGAGATCATCGGTACCACGAATGCTGACTCGCCTACTTGCTCGACAAAAGCCCTAGCATCCCACTTACCACCCCATCTTCCTCCTCATACCAGCACTTTGAATCCCAAAGAGAACGTTTTAATCACACCTTATTCTTCCGAACCGGAACTCACTTACTTAAACCCAGGAAATCGATTCGAAAAACATTTAGGAAAAATTCGCTCTTATAGATTTGAAGTAGATAATCTTCTTAGACAGACAAATGACGATAACACAACAATAATCTCAAAATCAAGCCTCAACCACAATCAGTAAACAATCCAATGGACTCTGACACATCAATGGTTGACCCCGATACTTAGTTCCGATCCTTTTCATTTTTACACTCATATAAAAACATATACATTACAAATAAATAACTATCACTGTAACACAATGGAATATCCAATGAATTTTTAACAATTATAACGAACTGACTCTCCTTATAAAAGACCTCGCACCCGATATTGTATTTTTTCAGGTAACACACCTGCCATAAAATTTCACTAACTTTATCTGTCCCAAAGAATGTACTGACTACTTTCACAATCTACCACAAAACACCAAAATACATCCCACATATGTACCAAAACATAAACTCCAACATACTTTTACATCCTCTGATATAACAAATATATTAAAAAACCTCAATAAGTCATCCATACTTATCGGTGACCTTAATTCGTGGAGTCCTCTATAGGGCTCTAACACAAGGGGTAAAAACATCGAACGCGTGATTCGAGAAAATAATCTTATAGTTCTTAAGGGCGGCTCCCTCACCCACCTTAAAACCCACAACACCTTCACTCCATTCGATATCTCACTGATATCTCCACAGATAGCCGATAGATGTAGTTGGATTATATCAGACAACCTCCATGGCAGTGATCGCTTTCCTATCACCATCCATATCGCTACACCAACTCACCCCGATAATACTCGACCGCTCCCTAAATACAGGACTGACCAAGCCAACTGGGAACGCTTCAATGAAATCTGCGAAAAATCAGCAGTAATTTGGACAGCTGGTTGCTTAAATCAGCAAGTAGCGCAAATGACAAAAGCCATACGAGCAGCTGCAAGCTGCAGCATACCCCAAACAAAACGAGTGATCCACACAGCCAAAGTGGAACTCAGAGCTCTAACAGCTCAGGGACCAAAACCAACTACTGCTTTCCTCATATAAAGCTATTATGAGTGACCTAAACCTCATCAAGTTCAAAAAAGCAAACGCTCTCTTTAAAAGAGCTGTACTCTCGGCCTAACGTAACTGCCTTGAAAAATGTACTTCCAGGATCTCGCCGTTATCCACATCAATGAAAGTCTGGTCCGAGATTAAACGCTTAGATGGAGTCCCTCCCACACCTTTCAAATATATAAAATTCGAACCAGGTACCCAATCTGGATCCTTAAATATTACCGAAGTGTTTGCCCATTCCTGGTCTAAATTCTCATCCGACGGAAACTTTTCAGCAGAGTATTTACTGGAGT